TACTAGGAACAAGTGCATCGCTTCTAGTAACAAGTGCCTTACTAGTAGTAACAAGAAGCTACTAGGGGCTCCTGGCCTTGCTACTAGGAGCAAGGACGCAAAATCCTTTAAAAGAACGATGAGTCCGTAGGGCGAAATCTGAGCCTTTCACCCAAATCGGATGCTGCGTCTTTTCTCCACGGTTGTCATGCCTCCAAAGTCTTCGTGTGGAAGACTCACATATACTAGTAGCGTAACCCTTGCTCCTAGTAGTACGGCCAGGAGCCCCTAGTTACGTCCGATCGCTCCTAGTAGTGATGCCAGGAGCCACTAATAGCTTCTTGTTACTAGTAGCGTTCTTGTTACCAGCAACCTAACATATCAAAGCATATCTGCACCTGTAGATGACTTCCGTGTCAAACTTGGGCTCGAAAGGGGGTGGCCTGGATTCGAAGTTTGCACTCACAAAATCTTCATTATATACACGTTTTCTATAGAGCTGAGTTGAGCTAAGAAGTAAAAGCATAGTCAGTTGTTTCAACGTTTTCCAAACCATGTCGGGGCTACGGGGGCTCTTTATAGCCCAGCATGGCCTTCAGTTGCCGCTGCTCCTGTCACGCTCGACGAAGCACATAAAGCTGACTAGTAGCTTCTTGCTACTAGCAGCGTCCTTGCTCCTAGTAGTATGGCCAGGAGCCCCTAGTAGCGTTCGATCGCTCCTAGTAGCGATGCCAGGAGCCCCTAATAGCGAACATTGCTACTAGTAATGCCCTTGTCATTAGTAGCGATGCACCTTGCTACTAGCAAGCTACAGCACTCGCGGCTACACGGCCAAGTGAAGACTTCGATCTCTCCATCTTGGACGACGAGTAGTACCTGTCATCGGATGAGTGATGGAAAATATAAACAAAATCCAACAACATCCATATGAAATGATTTTTGTTTGTTTTGACATTTACAAACAGAGAGCTGTTACAGCTATAGCAAAGTCGAAAGCCATACTGAGTGGGTTGGGGCATGGTTTCACATTTGCTGAGGGCCATCGACATTGAGGCCCCAAGTGCCAAGTTGACTCTTGATGGATCCAAAGAAAAGAATAAGAACGATCCAAAAAAAAGGAAAGAAGGGTCCCCAAAAAGACAGATCTATAAGGAGAAAAAAGCGAAGAAAGAAAGGTTCTAAGGAAAGAAACAAGTGACGAACATCGACTGCCCTTCATTGACTGCTCCGCCGATGCGACAGCGTCCGGTGCTCCATGTATCTTTTTAGATGGTATGTAATAAAAATATACTGTATACATGTTGACAGCAGTTCACCCAAGACGGTTTCCACAGCATCGATTGTTTAGGCCTATCTCGCGCATTGGCGTTGGGGGAGCGCAGTTCGTACCAAAGGGCTCTCAGTTGGAAAGATTCCGGGACAAAACTCCAGGACGCACCACGTCATGCAGGTGTCACATCAGCACATCAGCACGTCAGATAGAACAGCCAAGTCAATAGAACCAGCCAATTTACAGAGTTGCGTAAGTGACGACAGAACAAATGCAGAACGGACCTGTTGACATGTCGAGTTTTTTGGAGAAAGAAGAGATTTCTGTAGCTAGAATGCTACTAGGGGCTCCTGGCATTGCTACTAGGAGCAAGGACGCTACTAGGGGCTCCTGGCCTTACTACTAGGAGCGATCGGACGCTACTAGGAAGATGCTACAACCAAGTTGAGATGTCCAGGCTCGAAAAGTATCTTCCCTCCACAACACTTCACCACCAACTGCCGCACCATTCGCGGCAAACCAAGTCCCACATTTTGCACCACCGGACCACATACTTCACATCAATGACCACATTGCAAATGACCGAAAGCCGCGTACTTCGTATACACCAGTAACACTACCGGTAACATACAATGACATCAATTGTCCTGATACATACATTCCAGTCTGACTGGAACAATAATAAGTTATCGTGATTAGACTTCACACGTCATTTTACAAGAGGGAGCCATATACCAGGTAGAAAATGCCTTTGCAAAAGGTTTTTGGGCTGCTGTGCTGCACTGTGTGGGCAAAACAAAGCTTTGAATGGCGCTGTGCAGTTTTGCAAGCCTCGCGAAATGCAATCTCAAAGCTTTGTCATCGGCTAAAGTGGTTTTTCTGTTGGGCATTGCTACTAGTAGCAAGGATGCTACTAGTTGTCAAGGCAGCGTTTTGTGTCCTCAGCCAGCTCACTGCTCAAATCACATAGACATAAATCCCCCTAGCACATTGCGCGTCGCTTCCTACTAGGAACAAGGACGCTACTAGGGGCTCCTGGCACCGCTACTAGGAACAAGAAGCTGCTAGGAACAAAGAGCTAGTAGCTTCTTGCTCCTAGGTAAGCTACTAGGAACAAGTGCATCGCTTACTAGTAGTAACAAGTGCCTTACTAGTAGTAACAATGTTTGCTAGTAGAAACAATAAGAAGCTATAGACTTTAATTAGAAAGTGCTACTTTAATCGTTGCGCTTCGTTGGTGAAACGTCCATCGACTCGAAAAGCGGTCGGCACTTGTCCCCAAGGATGATGCGGTTGGGATCGTTCGCAGCCTCTGCACATGACTAGGGTGGAGGCCATCGCTAGTTCAGAATCAACATATCTGCAAATGCACAGATCAAAAATTCTTGGTAGAAAATCGACACATGTCGACGTCCTCCTCCTCATCTTCTTCGTCTTGTTGTTGCTGCACAAGCGAATCGAACTTGGAGTAATCCGTGGTATGCTTTTTCACCAGCTTCTCCTCAAACAGAAACACATGCAGCGTCGAGAAACATGACTCTAAGGCGACAGCACGACAGCATTAGATCTCAAGCGAATCGCCCAGAAGCTGTACACAACATACTTGGGGTAGGCAAGAACTCCATAGAGTCCCCAAATCGCATAGAGTGGAGACCAAATCGCTTAGCTTCATGTTACACATGAGAGCCAAAAAGACAGGTCCCATTCAAGTTGTTTCTGAGTTAGGTCATTTTCAGATGACACTACACCATTCCGTGCCTTGCAATAAAACGAGATGAAACATGTTCTTTTTGTTTCCGAAAGTTCTTTAAAGCGAGGAAACCCTGCTCCAAAAACATAATACCGGAAGTGCTGAAGTCACTGAAACATGTATTGAACCCGAACATCATCCCGCAAGACAGAATAGCCATACAAGAAAAAAAACACCTTGAACCACCCGGAACAAATCCAACCTTGCTAACCTTGCATGAACACATGAAATTTGTTGGCGATGGCCTCCAACCTAATAGCGAACATGAATTGCATGGCAATTTGGGCAGAACAGCTTGGCGCAGCCAACCCTTTCATTGAGGCCTTAAGCGCAGCTCCCAGAATTGGATGGCGAAACAATTCCCTGATCAACCTTTGCTGAAATATGCAAGACTCGTACAGCTTTCAGCTTCAGGAGAATCAACAAAACCACAGTTTGCTAGCTGCAAGGCCCTGCGGGTCCTGTTGATGCTGGTTTCTGATGTCCCGCGCTTTTTGAGCCCAAGCCACCAGATCCTTGTTGCTAGGCCTGGACCACTTTTAAACTTTGAAATTGAGGCGTGACTATGGCAGTAAGGAGCGGTCAAGTACAAGACACTGTAAAGCATTCTTATTTGGGCACAAGCGATTGAAAGGACAGAATGTTTCTTGTTGAAATCCAACACTTACACCAAAATAGCACATTGCATCGTGTCTATTTCAATCCAAGCAGCTCTTTCTCAAGGCCCTTCTCAAACATTTCCAAGGCTTCCTGGTAGTACTCCATCCTGCAGCACATCGCAAACAAAAAATTCCACCGAAAGAGTTCCACGGGAGAACTCGAACCTGAACGAACAAGAAAAGCCCAAATAAATTAACACAAAAGAACAGGAGTTGCTTCGTGTGATCCCCACCGTGGCATTTCAGACGACTGCACTGCATCCATCCCAACACTGTTTCATCATCTCAAGCGCAGTGAGTTTCTCGATTGAACCTGTCACATCGCTGGGACTTCCAAAGGTGCGAAGTGTTGGCACAAACATGTCAGCAAACCGCCTGAAACAAAACATGGAAAATTCTGCAAACATGGCAGACTTAAATCAAACACGAAACATGCAGGGGAATCCACCTGGCAGGTTCCAAGACCACATGCATATGCGAAACATGTCAGCTGACCACCTGAAAAGGGTGGCCGGAAGATATGCCAGATAGAATGTCAGAAGGGATGCCAAATGTCAGAAGATATGCCAGTAAGAATGCCAAAAAGGGCGTCAGAAGATATGCCAACTAGAGTGCCAGAAGACATCCAACACGCTATGCTAGACAGATCTAGACAGTGCCAAATGCCAGACTTGCTCTGGGCTGCACGCTGAAGTAGCACAGCTAGCGTGCGAGTGGAGCGATGCTGCTGCTGCTGCCACCGCCGCCCCGAAACCCTGCTTCAAGCACTGGGCTCGGCCAGCATTCGAGGGTTTTGAAATCATTTGCTCTTTTGGGTATGGTCTTGCAGGGAAATGCAGCTGAAGCGGAGATGGAGATCATAGCCCCTCTTGCATAGCCTTTCTTCAATGTCAGCGGCCGCTGCGACAGCTACACCACGCTGCGGATGCTGCCAAGCATGTTCAAAGCATGCCGATTTGGAAGATTGTGTAGGCTTGGTAGATTGGTTTGTTACTTAGTAGCGTCCTTGCTCCTAGTAGCGATGCCCCTTGTTACTAGTATACGCGATGCCCCTTGATGATGATCTGGCATATTGGGAGTCATTGGAAGTGTGGTCACATCTACCCGAAGCGACGCTGGTGTTGCAAGATCTTTCGTCCTGCAAGTCCTATACCGAACCAGTTGGAAGGTGCGGAGAGTGCCAACAGAGGCTGGTCTGTGAGTTGGCTTTCACCAAACCCATCTGAGGTTTGCCTGGATTTTTTGCCTTGATTGACGACAAGCCAGTGGGGCTCCAGACATGGTTGCGCCGTGTTGGCGGCATGTGTTCGGTGAGACATCCTCCTTTCTGGCGTATGTTCTGGCATTCTTGATGGCAGAGTCCGCGCGTGCCCAGACTAACCTGGCGCTCTCTGTGGTGCACAGGCCTGGCACTCGCTGTGACATGAGGACGGAGAAGGAAGAAGGAAGAAGAAGAAGGAGCACCCTTTTTTTTTAAACTCTAAAGAGACCCTCACGTGAAAGGAGGGGAAAGAACCAAAACGAAAGTCGCGACTCTCCGGCTCACTCGGTTTCTCGGTGTCCGCGCTCCAAGGCTGCACGGCCGGCACGGAAATAACCTTTGGACCTGGGATGGATAAGGAACTAGTAGCGATGGCCTTCAACCTACCAGCAATAAGGACCAAACAAAGGCAACGAATGCCAACATAGAATCGAAAAACATGACTAATAAAAGGTATGTTATTGGCAAAGCCCGCAACCATGCGTGCCAATTGTGTGCCAATGGCGTGCCAATATGATCGTTTCACAAGTAGTTTCACTCATTTCACTTTCTCACAAATGTGCAAACTCTTGCCATCCCCGGGTTGAGGATTTCATCCACAATTCAACAATATGCACCCCCATTGCCCCCACAACAGAATTGTTTTTTGATTCTTTCTTTCATGTCTTCTTTTTTCCAAATCGGTGTGGACGTTGAATTGAACAAGAATGCCTTATGCCTTCACGAAAAAAAAGAAACAACATGCAGTCACCATGTTTTCGAGAAAAAGAAGAAGAAACAAACAATGCAAGAAGAAAGGTCTAAGGAAAAACAAAAAAGAACCGGTCCAATGAAAGGTCTAAACTCTAAACCAAAAAAGAAAACACAAGTAAAAGGCAAACAATTATCGAAAAGTCTGAAGAAAAATAGACTGGTAGAAAAGAATGTCTTTAGAGAACACGTCGAGGCATTCGCCATGCTCGGTTCTCTTTGATGGCTTTCGTCGCCTCCACCAAGGCCTGGTGTGGCAAGGCACATACACGTGAGCATACCGAGGTAGACAAAAATGAAAAGACAACAAACAGATTTGTCTAAACTTGGCCAAAAGGAAGTTGAGAGAATATATCGAAGGGGCTACTTGTATAGATGCAGAGCTGGGAATCCACAGGAGGGTTCCTAGATTTTCGAAAGTATGTGCCAAGACACATGTCCGTATGGTGCGTCTGTACATGTTCGTATGGCCTCTGTGTACTTTCCAAGTTGAAAAAGGCAAGCTGAACCTGAGCCCAAGCTAAGGCCTTAAAGCATCACCTTTTTTGCACTTTGTGACTGGTGTCTTCTCTTATTCAGGGCTCTTTGAAACGATGTGGGTCTAAAGGTCTAACGGAGTAAAAGCAGAGTGTGGGGCTCGGGTCTGAGTGAATGAAACGGGTCGCCTGTTCCGGCGACGCCTCTTCCTGGTGCTCTGAGGGCCCTGCGATTGCTGAAAATCTTGTGTTTCTCAGGGACATCCTCGATTCACCCACTCAACACGTCGCACAGCTCATGTTCAACTTGGATTGGAGTGGCTCCCGGCCAGGCTTACAAGATCAAAGCAATCGGGATCCAAAACATCCAAGTGAGGCAAAATGCCGTGTGGATCCGGTGCAACCAGCTTCTCCGAGTCACCCCAAGCAAAGCTCCAGCATAGTATTCTAGAGCTTGCTCCTGTACCGAGCTGTTTCAGCCGCTGCGAAAAGACTGGGGAGCAAGTCCAAGACTGTAAATGCGGGTGATTCCTTTCCGTCACATCTTCTCACATTTCCAGAATCGGGTGTCTTTCTCATGGTTTGTCACATTTGTATTGATATCATGCTGTCCTAATATAGGTCATGATATGTTGTCCCTTATGGAGAGAATGAAAAACATTCACATCCTGAGCGGTTTTGAAAAAAAAAAAACTTTCAGCTGAGCGGCGTATTCACGCTTCTGAAACGCCATGTTCCCCAAGTCCTGGCGCAAAGCCGCGAAGCCATCGACGGTTCCCGGTTGAACCAGGTTCAGAGTCTAGACTCTATGAGTTTTATTAGTCTATCAGCCTGTGAGGTCTTTCTGCGAGTAGCATTGAAGTGTATACTGAAACAGGCGTAAATCGAGTAGGAAGTCGCTTTCGCCTTGGCTTTCTGAGAGGCAAAGGACATCATGTCTGGACTGCAGTCCGCTAGCTTGGCCTGGCACCAGACCGGTCTCAAGAGACACCGAGCTGTATTAATCGATGCTTCTTGTTACTACTAGTAAGGCACCTGTTACTACTAGTAAGGCACTTGTTACTACTAGCGATGCACTTGTTACTAATATCAGATTCTATCGCTAAAATGGAGGCCGCCGGTTGGAGGCCGCTAGTACACCAGAAAACAGCTGCGGAATATCGCATGCGATGTTGGCACAACTCACCAATGGCAAGAATGAAATTGCACTAAATCTGCTATGCCCCTGGCTAGGCCTCCTTCACTAAAGCATCCACGTCGCCCTCCTTGCCGAGCTTTGTGATGCGTTTCCTATACAAACAGGCGAAAGCTTAGACAGCATTCGCGTAAACGAGAAAACATATTTTACATCTCTTGAAACTACTAGTAACAAGAAGCCACTAGAAACAAAGGGCATCGCTACTAGGAGCAAGGACGCTACTAGTAGCTCCTGGCATCGCTACTAGCAACAAGAAGATAGCGTTCTCATTCGACCATTCGATCTGTTGAGCGCGCTCTGAGACCCCTACAACTTGTCATCCAGTGATTCGTTGTCCTGGGGCACTCGTGAACATGTTTCAAGGGCTCTCGTGAGCTTGTGGCTTGGGGCAAGAAGCGCTCTACCATCTCTACGAGGATCCGGCAAGCTCTTCTTTGAAAGTACTAGACACTCCATCGCTATTAGTATTGGACACTCCAAAGTGAAAAAGCCAAGAAGATGTTCTTCGATCGAAGTGGCACCCAGCATGGCGCACCGGTCCAAAGCAGCCACCGCCACCGCACGCACGCACCACTGAAATTGAGCAAGGAGCAAGGACGCTACTAGGGGCTCCTGGCCTTACTACTAGGAACAAGAAGCTACTAG